GGGCCATTTTCCTGATGTATTCATGGATCTTTGTTGTTTCATCCTGGATAGTGGCTCTGATGCTCACTAATCCTCGGCCTCCTTCCTTCTGTTTATTGTACAGTCTCGGGATGCTGGACTTGGGGTGAAACCCTCTGTGCATTGTAAGGAGCTTCCTTGTCTTGATGTCGGTGGCCTCTATCTCCTCCTTTGGCCAGCTTATTATGCCAATGGGGTACCTGATGACTGGCAGGGTGTAGGTGTTAATTGCCCGGACTTTGTTCTTTCCATTCGGCTGACTTCTCAGGACTTGCCTTACTCTCTGCATGTACTTGGTGATTGTGGCTTTCCTTGCGGCCTCTTCATGGTTCCCATTTGCCTGCGGGATCCCAAGGTACTTGTAGCTGTCCTCAACATCTGCCATGTTGCCTTCTGGTAGTACAATCCCCTCAGTTCTGACTACCTTCCCTCTCGTTACCATTTGACCACACTTATCCAGTCCAAATGACATTCTGCTGTCCTGGCTGTAGATCCTAGTGGTGTGGATCAGTGAGTCGATGTCTCGTTCACTCCTGGCATACAGCTTGATGTCATCCATGTAGAGGAGGTGGCTGATGGTTGCTCCATTCTGTAGTCGGTATCAGTAACCACTCTTGGTGATTATCTGGCTGAGGGGTTTCAGCCCTATGCAGAACAGCAGTGGGGACAGAGATTCTCCTTGGTAGATACCACACTTGATGTTGACTTGTGCAATTGGATTGAAGTTGACCTCTAGGGTTGTTTTTCCATATTCCCATTGAGTTCTTGATGAAGGCTCTTAGAGTCTTGTCTGTTATACAGTTCCAAGCATTCCCGTGTGTGTGTGTTGAACATGGATGTGTATGTTGCTGTATGGTGGAAGAATGTGGCTTTTGCAAGGTTGGAAACACAAAAAAGATTAATAGTTGTTTTAAGGGTTTATGCCATGTTGCGCTAAACAAGACACATTTCTACAGTCATGGTAGCAGCTCTGTGAGGTTGTACACGCTGTAGGCACAGTGGTGGCCTGAGCATACTCACGATGACATTGCTAAAATGGTTATGTTTAGCAAGTATAATGTTTACCGTGTTACCCATTGTTAGTCCACCGGTATACATGTAGATGCCTCATCTATGAGATGCGTCTGTCCCAGCACCAAATCACAAATAATAGACACCCACATACACATTCGTGCTGCTTTTGGATTATTAATGAAAGACGTCCCTGTACTGTAACTAGAACCAGAAATGTGAAGCTTGATTAAAAATGTACCTAATTACAATAAACACTAGCTTTAAAATGTTATTTCCAAAATTATTAGTAAATATATCACTAATATCAATATTAGTAAAATATCATGGTCAAAATAAAATCGCATTCTTAAACTAATGCAAAAGGAGTTTGGATTCAATAAGTAAATTCGGAATTGGGTTCAGATTTAATAAAAATGCTACCGAACCCTATCACTAGAAATACAAAAAATGGCTGTGGCGAAACCTCGCGATATGAAAATGTGACGATATGTCAAAACAAGAAATGTCTCACGATATCAGAACATAGAACCAAGCCAGTGTGACAATGCGTTCACATTAGTCCGGAAAACACGCAACTCCCTGCTGTGTTTTAACACAAGGGGATGCGTTGGTCGGGAGGTGAGGGGTTGCAGGGGGCAGTGTTGTAGCAGTGTACGATATGACCACATTGTGACGATTCGACCTTGAGTGCCTTCATTCACGTTTCCAGCCCAGGGGTTTCCATTGTGTTCTGATTAGCCATGCTGCTAATGTAGTCTACTCTACATTAGTACCAATTCTACCACCAGTGTGTCGGCATTGATATATTAAAAACAAAACAGTTTAACACCCAGTAGTAATGAAAATGCATGGTTATGGTGTGTTACTTGTGGCCCAAATTTGACAGTGAATGCTTATGCTAACAAGGTAAACAAAAGACTTCTATTTTTCCAGTCATGTATTTGGTTTAATATTTATTAAAAATAGTGTTAAATATTGTTTCGTCCTTGTGAACCCAATATCGTGTATCGTCTCATTTGGTGAACTACGTGTATCGTCGCTGTTGTCGTTTCAATAGCCCATATAAAACCCAGTATCAAACCCTTACATCTGGCAGGATATTTTGCATGAAAATTGAAATGACCAAAATATTACATTTTGTTATCAACTAATTATCCCATTGCTGCAACTCAAGCGGTTTTGAGTAAAATGTTTCAACAACTAAATATCATATCAGAATCCAAATCCTTTTGAATCCTTTATCAAATAAGATAAGGAATAAACGTAATTATACATCTTATTTAATAAGATTTTCAGACACTTAAATTTAGCTAGTTTAGTAAAACAAAACTTTTTTTTATAACAAACAATATTGTAACTATAGCTTTTTCTAACCATGTTAATAACGCAGTTGATCGTGGTGATTATAGACCATTATACTAAACCATGGAGGCCGTACTGAGCTGAGGTGTAACTTGTAGTTACTACTCATATTTGGGGGGGGGGGGGGGGTTGCC